CTCTCTCTCTCTCTCTCTGTTTAGGTTTGTCTCTCTCTCTCTCTTCCTCTCTTCCTTTCTTTCACTCTAGAGATCTATCATTCTCCAAGGTGACGTCGGTGGCCTAGTGGTTAGGCAACTGGACCTGTAATCGTGAGATTGTGCGTTCGAGGGTTCCACCCTCAGCTCAGTCTAACGTTGTGTTCTTGGGAAAGGCAGTTAACGCAAATTTCCTCTTTGCCTTGTTCGTTTCGGGGATGGACATTAAACTCGGAGGTCTCGCCTCTTAAATAACCTTAAACCGTTGATAGGGGGGGGAGGGGGGGTAAATCTGTATTATGTTACATTTTATTTCATCACTCAATCTGTGTTTTACATTGTTAAATCTGATTCTTGAATTTAAAAACATATATTTTCTTTTCCTTGCGTTTACTTCTATTGAAATGACACCGTCCATGACGACCACCGGTCTGAGACATCCAATTTTACCTTCCACAATGGGTGGCCGTTTTTGGACAAGTTTTATTATCCGTGAAATAAAATAAGCACCCTTTCAGATGGGAAAAATGGCTTTTCCCTACAATAAATAATATAACAGACAAAAGCATGAGGTTTGGATTGTGCTTTTTTTCTTCTTTTTTCCCGACATGAGCCTAAGTTTTACTTATACATTCATATTTTTATAAACACCCAGAAGTAGCAAAAGAGATGATTTATTCCCTAGCGTAATGTTCATTCCACTAACTGTTGACCCTTACCAGAGAAGGACAACAAGTTCTGTTTTATTTGTGTGCATTGTGTGTTCCAGTTTTTGTTGAAGTACATGTACATAGAGGGTGCCGTGGCAGAGCGGTTACTGCGCTCGTCTCCGAAGCGGAAAGTCCGGGTTCGAGCCTCGGTTCGGACACGGATTTTTTTCGTCCCCTCCTGCCTACTCAGCAGTAATGGGTACCTGACTTCGAGTTGGGAAAGTAAAGGCGGCGTGGAAAGGAACTGACAACCCTACCACAATATGCCGAAAGCCCATGAAGTTGTCTCACTAACAAGGCAATCCCCAATAGGGGAATAACTTTACTTCTTACATGAACATATTATATCGCTCTAACAAGTGGTTTCATTCTTGCAAATTCGGTTTGTGGTTAGGGTAAGCAAAAAGGAAGAAGGAAGGCAAGAATATTGCAAAGGTGCACTAAGGCAGTGGTCTCAAACTCAAACTACCCGCGGTCCGCCGAAGGTAGAGCCTGGATTTGCCTGGACTGCATCAAGCAACCCATAAAAATGGTTTATGGGTGTTTTTCATGCCCCCACCAGCCTAAAGGATAGTTCCCTAGCAGTGAAGGATCAGAGAGCCCATTACTCTATGCGAACCCTTTAACCCTATCCGTACGTCGTGTTTTACCATCGTATCCATACGACGTGTCACGACTTTCAAAAGAGGAAATTTACTCGTTAATCCGATCCGTACGCTTTGCATAGCAGTCTCCCAAAATGACGTTTTGAGAAATACTGAAAGTTTCAAAGAGACCTTGGTACTAGAAGTATTCTAAAATGTAAAGAATACAAACCCGGGGGTACAAAATGACCCCAGGGCGTACGGATAGGGTTAAGACCCCGGCTCTATAGTTGTTTTTCACGTTTGGGAATACTTGTTCAGGGGTAGCCATTAGGGCTATACCCCGGTAGCAAACCCGCTCGT